TCAAAATCTTGCGGATATGTTGACTAGGGTGGTGGCTGTTGAGAAACTGAAGTTGTGATAAGGTTAAGATCCACACAAAGATACGTGGCCATGATACGTGACTATGAAGGTGATTTAGATGGAGGTAGAGGTACAAATGACTGGTGCTGGGTGCTATTGTCTCCAAGTGGGAGATTGTTAGTCTTGTGGAGACAAAGCGCCCAGAGAAGACCGAGAACATTGGGCTTGGGAGTTGAAGCGCCCACCATGTGGGCACTACTTCTGAAGGGGGCGCTTTTGCGCCCCTTATGACGCTTTTGCGCCCATGTTTTGGCTCTTGGCAGATAAGGGGGCGTCTTTACGCTCCCCTTGGGCGCCTAAGCGCCCATTAGGCGCCCAACTATGCTGGTCGCGGTTCTGCATCCTGAGACACTAGCGTTTTTGCGCTCGGTTCGAGCACTTTTGTGCCCAAAGCAGTTGGTATGCAAAATTTTTGGTTTTAAGTCAAGTTTGAGTGGCGTAATGTGTGTTGGGTGTAAGGCTTCCTCGAGCGTTCTTCAACAAGTTCTTGGTGAAGGAGAGAAGAGTTGAAGAGGAGGAATTCTAGGATCTCGGCGTGCGTTGTTGGTATCGGATCAGAAAATGCAGATTGTGGAGCATCTTGTAAGTTTTTTCGTGTGAGTGTGAATAAGAAACTTGTGTGAGTCTTTTGTTTTCATAGTGAATTAGTGGTTGTGTGGGTCCGTGGTTTTTTTCCCTTTATCGGACTTTTCTGATTGTTTTGATTTTGTTTATGTGTTTAAATTTATTGTTATGTTTTTCTCGAATCCTGTGATCCTATTCTGCGATGAAACTAGAAGGAGATTCTTTCACATTAGTTTCTCTCAACAGTTTTGAGTGGCATGAGATAGAGATAAGTGAACCTCTCAATGATCCGAACAATTTTAACAAATTAGATATTGATAGAGGTCTTCGTGGAAATTAGGGCTTATGTCAGTATTTTTGTACATGAACAAAAATCTGTTGAAAAGCTTAATTGTAAATTTTGTACTAGCTTTACATGCATGAAGACAAGTTAATTAAATCTAAATGAGTTTAACTCTATTATTTGGGATTTGTCCAATATTGATGTGAGGATTTTGTATAAAGAATCAAATTTTGTTATCATTGTGCTATTTATCTTTTCTTTTGTTATTTTTGTGACTTCATGCTCTATGAAGAGATGCAATTTATTTACATGATTTTAAGAATCTGCTTTTTCTAATGAGAATTGCTATGTTTTGTGTAGAGATTTAAGAATGAATGAGGAATTTTTTGTTTAAAGGTAGTGGGGCTGTTTAAAAAGCTCATCAACTCATGTTCGACTCAATTTATGAACATAAGTTTTGAGCTTAATTTATAAACGAGTGGAACATGAACATACACTTATGCTATCATGTTTGACTTATTTTGGTTCAATCATGTTCGATTTATTTTAGCTCATAATAATCGAGTAATTAAATACTTAGTATTTATTTCATGTTCAATATATTTATTTGATTTTTATTTTTTAATGAAAACAATTTAGTATTTTTTGAATAATTTGAGTTAAATACAAGTCGCACATGAATACAAACGAATCAAATATGAATATGCTATTTATGAATAATATCAAACATGATCTGATTTTGAAAAAAATATTTTTTCGAATAAACCAAACACAAATAGAGTTCAAGCTCACTCAAGCTCGCTTACACCGTTAAGGGGGAGTTCCTTTAATAAAGGATCTATTTTTAATTATGCGGGTTTAAGTATTGTGTTAAGTTTATGGATATTACATGCTTCGATTGTAAAAGGAAATGACAGAAATGGAAGTTGCCATATTTTGAGGAGTAGCATTTGAATGATTATCATTTGGAGGACAAGCCAGTTGTCGCTACTATTGTTATACACGGTTTGTTTCATGCATAATTGATGCCTATTTTGGTTGTAAAATAGAGTTTTTAACACTAATTAGTGGATTCTTGATCCATAGTTCCAAAAGCATATGCTCTTTTAATTATTTTCCGCTTATAAGACATTTTTTGGTGGCGATGTTCCAATGAGAAGCAACTTTCATTCAAGCTAATATTAGCATTATGAACTTGAGGACGCATGATGGTGTGATTAGAAAATTGGCTGACAATTTGGCATGTACTAACATTGTGAACTTGAGGATACATGATGGTGAAATTGTTTGAAATTTTGGCATGTACTACATCTGATGAAGAATATGATATCTTTGAATGTGCTTAGTGATGCATGATACATTTTCTCAAGAGATGCTGAAGTCCTAAGGTATCATAAAGGCAAAGAATGATAATTTAAGGATGCAAAAAAGTTTACCTTCTTTTATGAAGGTTAGGTTTTGGAACAAATAAGGTCACAAGTTGAGGTAGAGACTATTGGAGATGACTATTGCACTATCTACCCTAGTACTAGGTCATGTTTTTACAATTTTAAAGTGAGGAGATGATCATTTTGGGGCTGCAAAAATTTAGTGGCAAGTGTAGTTCTAATATTGATGAATTTACTTTTGTGTGCAGAAAAATGTGTTTTATTTGTTTCTCGTGGATGATTAGGTCAGGTATCATTTGGGCTTATTGAGACTGCACGACACATATCCTTTAGGGGGTTTGAGAGTTTGGAGTGATCTGTTAGGAGATGAGTTATGCCTTAAATACAGTTTTATTTTTCTATCTATTATTAATAGGAGATTTTTTAGTTACGATGAGTATAAATTTGAGTTTTTTGGGTAAAAAATAATTTGTTATTATTATTATATGGATAAAAAAATTGTTTTTTTAGATAATTTAAAATAAATTTAAACTTGATTAGGTTAGAAAGTTTTTTTAGCATCCTATAAATTAGAGTGCATTTAATGCACCATGCATGGATTAATCTTGAGTAAAATGTTGCAGTTGTATTTTGTTCCAATTTTATAAAGATGTTGGTTGATACTCTCTTGAAAAACTTTTGAAGTGAGAATTTTCTGGCATTCATTTAATCCTTTTTTTATGATCGATTTTAAGTTATTTTCTATTTTGTTTGACTCGAATGATTCGTGGCTTCTCCTTTGTGGTAAGATTTGTTGTACTTGAGTTTGGGAAAGATCTTGTTGTTATGTCTTTTTTATTTGTACACTGATGAAGCTTCTTTATTAGGGATTAGATTCTCTCTCATATCCCATGGAAGATTTGTTTTATCCAACAACAACAACAATAAGTTATCCCATTAATTGGGATTAACTACATGAATCCTTGTTTATCCATTGTCTTATTGAGTGTCATATTTCATTTAATTTTTTTAAATTAAGATCATTTTTTTACACAATATGCCCAAGTCTTTTTATGTCCACCATACCTTTCTTAACATAAGTTAAATCTAAAATATCTACTCTCCTAACTAAATCAGCAGATGGTCGACGTTTAGTATGACCAAACCATCTAAGGCGGCGCTCTCTAATCTAGTCTGTCGATTGAGCTACTCCAACCCTTTCACAGATATATTTGTTTCGCTTTTTGTCTCTAAGTGTAAAGCCAGTCATCTGCCTAAGCATTATCATCTTAGTAACACAATTTAAAATTATGTTTTTCTTTTACAAACCAACATTTTGCGCCATAAAGCATTGCTAGTTTCACCACCATCTTATAAAATTTTCCTAAGTCTAAGCAATACTTTTCTATTACTTAATAGGCATGATGCATTCCTCCACTTCAACAATCCAACTTGTGTTTGATCATTATTTACTCATTGTTACAACTCCACTACTATATCTACTACCACTAAAATTAAATTCCATGTATTTAGTTTTAGATCTACTCAAACAAAAGCCTTTAGATTCTAAAATTTACCTCCATAATTCAAGTTTTTCTGAAATCTCTCTTTAGTCTTATCCACAAAAGAATATCATCAACAAAAAACATGCACAAAGATGCATCCTCCTATAAATGTCCAATAAGAACTTGAGTAAAGCGAAAGGATATGGGCTTAAAGCAGATCCCTGTTGTAATCCAAATGAAATAGGAAAATAATTGGTTAATCTTCATTGTTTGAACACAAGTAATAGCTCTAGCATACATATCTTTAATGAATTGAATAAAAGCAATATCAACACTTTATCAACACTTTTTTTTTTTTTTTTTTTTGTTGGCTAGAACTCTCCAAAGTACTTCTCTTGGAACTATATCATAAGCTTTTCCTAAATCAGTCATATGTTGATCCTCTTTACTCTCTCTATACTTCTCTATACTTGTTTATTGGTATTACTTTGTGGTTCATGGTTTTTTTTTTTTTTTTTTTGGGTCTATCCCTTTAATATATTGGCTGCCAATAGTTTAAAGAAATTGTCATTTAGTTCACTTGGCCAGTAGATTTCTTGAGTTTATAAACCTTGTTACCACCTTCAAGCTATCATTTATCATATTTTCTTAAAATCATGGCTGTGCTTCTTGAATTTGAAAATCTGGTTTCGATTTAGGGCATAGATAGAAAACCGCTTGGTAAGATGGAAGCCAAATGTTCTGCTTCTGGCTTATGACCATTAGGTTAAGCTCATTTGATTGGATCGGACGGTCTTTTTTATGTTCTGTAGTACTTTAATCTAAAACATGAAGCAATGCCATTATCAGGTTGCGGAGTACTGGAATTTATCCATGCTTGTCTCAATGCTTTTCACCAGTTAAGTCAGATCCTAAGATGGGTTTTGAGTCTATTGGCTTGGTATGGTATAACGTTTGTTGTCTTTTCAACTTTCCAGTATGCCGTGTATAGATTCTGTGACTATCTAGTAATGTGCATATTTTATTTCAAACTGGCTATTATAAAGATTTTTCATTTTTTTTTCATTAGGAAATTTAATCTTGCTCCAAAGGGAAATAACTTGTCTGGTTGATATCTTTTTTATAAGAGAACTTCGGTTGGATGAAGCTTTTTTGTTTTTTTATTTATTTATTAGTTTCTGTGAGTTTGCTTTTCTTGAATTTTGATCTACATATTTGTAGGACAAATTGGGTATGCTCTTGTCCCAATGATTGCTAGGGGTGCCATGCTTGGTCTTGACCAGCCTGTTGTATTGCATTTGCTTGACATTCCACCAGCGGCAGAAGCTCTCAATGGTGTTAAGATGGAGCTAGTCGATGCAGCATTTCCGCTTCTGAAGGGTATTTTGTTGTTACCTGAAATTTAGTATTCTTTCCCTGCTTAACATGTTTCTCTCTTTAAAATATTTGTCAGTCACAAATTTTTTTTTTTTTTTGAAGTTATGTTATGTAAGTTGTTTTCTACAGGAGTTGTTGCTACTACTGATGTTGTTGAGGCTTGCACTGGAGTCAATATAGCAGTGATGGTTGGTGGGTTCCCAAGAAAGGAAGGTATGGAAAGGAAGGATGTGATGTCAAAGAATGTATCCATCTATAAGTCTCAGGCTTCAGCGCTTGAAAAGCATGCTGCAGCAAGCTGCAAGGTCCACTGAAATTCATTTAGTTCTTTTATCATTTTTGGATGCAAATTCTTTTATGCTTTTGCTATGCTTTTTCTTCTTTCGAGTTGCTTCATGTAGAAATTACTAGCCTTTGGCTTATATAACTCATCACGGTTTTAGTCAACATTTTCTGTTGGCTGAAGCCAATTTATCTTTAACTGTCAAGTAATTTTTGTAAATCTTCAGAATCTTCTTTGTTTCTTTGGTAGAACTACTAATACTAATAATAATAGTATGCTCATTTGTGCTTATTTGGTTTTTTGTTCTGATAATTTATGTTTTACTTTTCTGTAGGTTTTGGTTGTTGCTAATCCAGCCAATACCAATGCCCTCATATTGAAGGAGTTTGCTCCTTCTATACCAGAGAAGAATATTACTTGTTTGACACGGTTAGATCACAACAGGGCACTTGGCCAAATTTCAGAGCGATTAAATGTTCACGTCAGTGATGTTAAGAATGTTATTATTTGGGGGAACCATTCATCTACTCAGTACCCTGATGTAAGCCATGCTACGGTGAAAACTCATGGTGGTGAAAATCATGTCCGTGAACTCGTTGCTGATGATGAGTGGTATGAATGATAATGAAACACTGTTAGGATTAGTTTATTTCACTGTCAAGTGTTTGGAAGTGCTTGAATCTCAAATCTAGGAGTTATGGTGAAATTAGCTGATATTTTCGTTGTGGTGTAGTAACCCACTTGTGTTTGTTTTGATTTTAGTTTTACTTTTATCCTCACTCATGCTGATTTTTCTTTTATTATTATTATTTTTAAGACTATAAGTAATATTTTAGTTCGTCATTCTATTAATTTAGTACTATTTTATTTATATCCAATACAAAAGCAAAACTGAACTTGACAATTTAAGCTTTGATGTTGAAACTTACCTCTTACTTTTTTTGGAAAGTAAGTTTATCTAGTAAGACTTTGTTCCACACGCCTTCAACTAACTAAATTTGAACTCACATTTAGAAGAGAAATTTAATTACTTTGGACACTTACAGTGAAATAAATTGTCTTAACCGGCGCTCAATGATTGTTTATGTTAGTGCTCTTTATTGCGTCAAGGAAATCAAACTACTGGGTCACTACCATCTGACCAATAAAATTTTACTTGTACAGGCTGAGAGGAGAATTCATTACAACAGTGCAACAACGCGGTGCTGCTATCATCAAAGCTAGGAAGCTCTCGAGTGCTCTCTCTGCTGCAAGTTCGGCTTGTGATCATATCCATGACTGGATCCTTGGGACCCCAGAGGTTATTTTCTTAAGCTGATTCTTTTATGCCTATATAAGTTAATGACACTTCGCTCAGTGCAGGGAACTTGGGTTTCCATGGGAGTATACTCTGATGGATCTTACAATGTACCGGCTGGGTTGATTTATTCTTTCCCTGTGACGTGCCGTGATGGAGAGTGGTCTATTGTTCAGGGTATGTTTGTTACTCTCTGAAGCCTCTAATTGGTTGGGGACCTAATTTCTCTTTTGTGATGATTTCTTTTAGTCAGTACTTTGTTCTATAGTTCAATGATATTTTACATTTTGATGGCCTTAGAGCTGAAAGGTCGGGAAAATCAGGGTCCTTGTCATTATGAATTAATTATAGTAAGAATGCAAACTTTGATTTGTTAACAAAATGGGCCATTTTCCATCAATCTATGAAATTTAGGTACGAGAACTAATAATTTTTGCTAGTTCTTGTAAGGAATGGGATGGAAATACCGTCTTGTTTGTATTGTCTCCCAAATTTGAGCACTAAAGTCTTAGAAAACTTTGGAGTAGGGGCTGTTGTTGATTTACTTCAGGATGAAAAACTTTACGTTGCTCAATCCTATTTTGGTGGATACAAGCTTATTATGGCTGAATATCCCAGGCTAACCCTAGTTGTTTTAGCTTTAGCTTGAGCTAAGCTCAAACTTGTCTTGAGTTCAAATTTTTGTTCAAGCATATTTATTTACAATTTTAGTGAGTTCAGATTTTTGTTCAAATGGAACATTAGGTCCTATATGACCAATAGAATGCATCCCAGCCGACTAAAGGCTTGCAAGACCAAAAAAAAGGATCAAGACAGTCCAAAGCTACTCAAGTCGAGACAAGGCATCCATGCTAACCAAAGGTTAGCCGACCAAAGGACAATCGATTGAAGGGAGGTCCAAACTCCTTAAACATCCCAAGCTAACCAGAAGCTCCCAAAAGGTCCAAGCAAATAAAGACCAACCAGGCTGTACCAAGCCTACCGGATGTTGTCAGTTGAGCAAAAGCCAAAATAGATGATTGGATGCCATCGGCTAGTCCAAAGACCCAATTTAGGTTCTCCCTACTCAAAACCAATTCCAACCGACTGGACCACTCCAAGCAAGGGCCAACAAAAGGCCAGTTCAGCTAATCGACGAGCTGCCAAACGACAGGCTCTGATATATAGAAGTCCAGAATACACTATATGACCTCCTTTAAAGCTGGGGTGAGAATTTGCTTTTAATCTTTTGTGCTCCTGTCCTCTATAAATTGGACCATACCCTATAATCAGAGGCTTTTTCCCTTTTTTTTTTTAACTGAAATATTGAAATAAAATTGGTCGCAGAGTCTGGGAACACTCCATTTTACCTTGTTGGGGGCACGTCGCTGTGCACTTTTCTCCTTCTCCCCTCTCTATCTCTCTAGCTTTCTTTCCTGCTCATGCTCCATCCCCTGAGACTCGATCTACGTGATATATCTGGATTCAACCTCCTAAAAGGTGTTGTGAGTATGGATCACGCCACAGGCAAAAAAAGGAGCACCACAAGAAAATACCCACTTCAAAGATATCTCCAACATGACATACACAAGGGAGTTTGTGCAATAACCAATATAGGAGCCGAAAAATCTCGTTTCCAGCGCCTTTCGAGTTTGGCTCAGAGGCCTTAACCTCTAAAACAAACAACCGGCTCCCAACGACTTAAGAAATCTAATGGTGAATGCCGACCGATGGTATCTCTCACTCGGTTGACATGAATTAATTGATTATGGTCAACCAAGGGATACAGACCCATAACACAGTATATAACTTTCTTCACCTAGTTCGAAAAAGCATTATTTGATTCAAATGCTTGTATTTTTTGTCTAAGTCATTAAAAAAATACGAGCCTTTTAAATTAAAAGTGTATTCCTTGGTTCAAATGACACTCGTGGAACTGGAGGCGTTCATGCACTTTGAAGTTGAGCCAATATTCAGGGAACTCAGGTTGATCGAATGACTGAATCATATTCAAATAGAAAAAACTGAAAGCAACACAAGCTGTCTGATCGGTAAAATAAAAAAATCAGTCTGCAATGCTCGTGCATCATTAACCAGATTTCCAAACTCGAATTGGATAAACTTTATGGAGGTAGTTCCCTGCCCAGTAGCAATAAGCTCTGCGAAGGATAACAAAAAATTCACCTCAGAAGTAAGTCTCGATAGACATCCTATGAATGCAACGACAAGATTCATGCCTAGCACAAGGGATAATCCGTGCGAGACGGAGATCCGACGAAGCAGCCAAGACTCGTTGAGTATAAGGCGCGAGTCGGGCATCAATATGCCAAAAATCAACAGGTGACAAAAGCTGTCTAATTGATAAATATTTCAAAAATTGATAAGTAACACAAGTTGTCCCATCGGTAAAATCTCTCTGAGACCGACGACACAAGCTTTCAAATCAACAGAGAATGTCTTAAAAACCTACCCTCAATGCCAAGCATAAAAAAACCCATGTCTCATAACTCGAATCAGTTAAAGCTCTGGAAGTGGTTTTTTGCCTAATAGCGACAGACTCGCGCAGGGTATCGAACAAATCACTCCAGTAGCACGTCTCGACATTTACCCCTCCAAAGGCAGTGACAAGATTGGCCTAAGTTCTAGCGAAGGTTGTGGTCCGACCAAGGCAATGACTCGACCGATTGAACGAGACAGGGGTAGTATAAGACTTGTGTCGGGTGGTTATAAATAAAAAATGACTAATGATCTTTCTGAAGATTTGGTTTGGCGGCTAAAAACTCTCCTGAGGGATGAGCAAATATTCATCACAAGCAATTATCGCAAGCAAATGACACGGTATAGGCAAAATACAAAAGAAGCAATGGTGAAGCAGAATATAATGAACGCTTCATTTCATTTCATATATATATATAAAGGTCACGTATATATATATATATATATATATTTCACTATACAAGTATTGAAAAAATGGAGGAAGATTTTTCTAAGTCTCACGAAAGCAACCAGAGCTATTGAGTGGAGAAGCCTACATCGCCCGCAACGTCCGACTTTTTTTGTGTCTTCCGCAAGACTCACATAAAATTCCTCCAAGTTCGCAAACTTGGGGTCCACTAGCCCTGACTTGATGAAGTGGTTGATTACCGTGACAATGCATGACTCGAAGCTGCCTTTCAAAACTTTATTTGCCGCAGATGGGAAGGAATTGCCTCAAAGAACTTTTATTCGGTTTTCATGGTTGCCACCTATTGTTGGGCGGTCGACAACAATTTTGACAGGAGAGAAATTTCAGCCTCCACCCCTTCCAATTTCCTTTAGTTTACAGTAGCTTGTTTCTACAATATTTTCGCCCATGCGGTCGAAGTTTTGGCCTTCTCAATGGCTTTTGCTCATTTGGCTTCTCCCGAGCAAGCGCTATCGATTGTAGACCGCCCAGGCTTTAATGGTATCGGTCAGTCTTTCGATAAAGTGATGGACGATCATGTTCCCTCAAAGATTTAGCTAAAGCTCGGGTTCAGAAGACCTCTACAATCTTTGAAGGATAAGTCTTTTCCGACTGATCCGACATACCAATCCGCCTCTCGATTGATCTTGGAGTGGCGCCTTTCCAAGCTTGTCCTAACTTGCATCTCTTCTCCTCATAAGGGAATCTAGCCAACTGGGGAACTTTTCCTCTTCCAAAAAGAGGGAGAAGGCGAAGCTCGTATCATAGGCAAGTTCTTTCTCCAGTTGATGCTAAATCTCCTCTTCCCGGGCTCAGGAGAGATCTGATTGGCCTCATGCCTAGCGGGCAAATCAGTGAAAGTTGTGGTAGTCTGCTGAGGAGTGGTCGACCACGTCTCAACGCTTTCCTCTGAAGCACCATCCTTTGGTATTGCTCAATTCCGACTGACTCGAGGTCTCTTTTGAGGCTTGCCTTCATGTTTTTGAAGGACCTGTAAACGACGACGAAATGTTATGGCCACCACTTCATTAGTGGCGACCCTTTGAAACATAACTGTGGTTTCAAATACAGAATAAACCATCACTGCACCTTCAACGTTCACCCCAGCAAAAAGGAACTTTGGCGCCGACCGAGGAAAATCTACTCTTGTGGCTTTAGGGAGAGTTCAAGCACTCGTGCTCGACCGATCTTTTTGGCTTTCTTTTTCTCTGCCCAAGAAGCAACCACCGCTTCCCTCTTTATTTCTTCGTCATCTGAGGTGAGACCCACATTTCATCTATCATCCGGACAAAAAAAACATTTGGAACCCGGTTAATTGTCGCAAAATCAATGTATCGAGGAATCGGCGGGAGTTGCCTATCGATCCCGACGCCCTCGATGTGAGAGTAATCCATCTTTTTATTATTAAAAATTCCTCTAGTAGGAGTGCTTGGAATCCCCAGGCCGACAGGAGATGAACCAAGGAAAACCGGAAGTTCTAATCCTTAACTTTGTTCACTAGACCCGGGAACTTGAATTTTCCAGCCGATCGAAACTTAACATAATCGTCGGGCTCCACCTAGAACAGTCAAAAGGGATATTGAAGCAAAATGATCAAGAGAACCCATCACACCCTATCTATAAGGGTCATGGGCACAAACTTTCACAAAGTTCAGTTATTGCAAATTCAATTGTCATAAATAAGATTCATTTGTTGTTTAAAATTCTTTCATTCTATTTGCATTTGTCGCCTTTAAGAAGAAAGAGAACCGATAAACTTAATATGCACATAAAAAAAAAATGTGAGCATTGATCCCAAGGTGATCTCGTGGTTCTAATTGAAGGGAACATGAGATCCCATATGACCGATATAATGCATTCCAGCCGACCGAAGGCTTGCAAGACCAAAAAACGACCAAGACACTAGAGGATAAAAATGACATTCCGGAGCTACTTAAGTAGAGACAAGGCATCCATGTTGACCGAAGGTTAACCGACTGATATAAGGTTAACCAACCAACCAAAGGACAATCGACTGAAAGGAGGTCCAAACTCCTCAAACATCTTCAGCTGACCAAAAGCTCCAAACAAATAAAGACCATCAACTAGGCTTTATCAGCCTAGCAATAGCCAAAAGACAATCAGATGCCATTGACCGGTTCAAAGACCCAAATCAGTTTCTCCATAGTCAAAAACAAGTCTAACTGACTAGACTGCTCTAAGAAGAGCTGACAGAAGGCCAGTTCAGCAAATCGACGAGTTGCTGAATGACTTGCTCCGACATACAAAAGATCAGAATAGCCTGTATTAACCCCTTTAAAGTAGAGGTGAGAATGTACTTTTTATCTTTTGTAATTCTTTTCTCTATAAATAGGACTATACCATATAATGGGAGGCTTTTCCCTCTTTTTCTGTAACTGAAATACTCTATGAAATAAAATGGGTCGCAGAGCCCGGGAACGCTCCACTTTGCCCGTTGGGGCCACGTCATTGTGCACTTCTCTCCTCCCCTCTCTATTTCTCTTCTGCTCATGCTTCATCCCTTGAGGCGTGATCTACATGACAAATTTGAGTTCAACAATATTACACTTAGATTTTTACATGCTCAAGCACATTTGGATGCACACAAAAACTATTATCTTGCACTTTTCTATAATCTTGCGAGATATTCTTTAAACAGACCATCTGATAGCGTATATGGGTCTTGCAATTGTTCTGATTCTGGATCATAGCGTCAAGGAAGCTGGCGGCCTAGCCAATGCAAGAAACAATAGAATATGCTATGTGAAAGTTATTGACAATGAAGAAGTGATATGTTATTAATCATTAGAACAATAACATGAAAATATTCAAAGAGAGATTCTAGGGATATCCGCTAAAATCTCCTAATAGGAGAGGTCAATCAAGTTAGGCTTCTTACATTGTTCTCAAGCAACTTTCAAAACATAACCCTATTTTAGTCTCCTATCATACAAGTTCACATCTATTTATAATGATCACATGGAAATTAAATACATGAAAGATGGGTACACTTGACGTGAATTTCAATATCCATCCAAGCTTTTGGTTCGTAAAATATTTCTTATGTGCATAAAGTAGCCATATGACCTTGGGATTGATAACTAGTACTTTATTTGGCTACAACGTAATGCAAATTAGAATTACGGAACTCTTTGGCCGAATTCTCCTTGTTTTGGATTGATCTTCTTTGCCATCTTCATTATGTAGATATTATTTCATTCCTTTGAATAGGCGTCCTCACTATTATAGAGGAGAATGAGGGCTGATTGAATTTTTATATTGCTTTTGTTTGAAATTTTATCCAAGCCAATATGGAAAGGGACTTGTTTCAACTTTTGCATGATGGATGACAACTTGATTTTTTTAAATATTTTTGACAATAATGATGATGATGTTTGACTTCATCATCATGCTGATGCTGATTATGACGACAATACAGAATTTACATATGTGAATGTTGATGATGATAACATGTTTTCTTTCAATAAATGGATGGATTTGTTGAAGCTGATTATTTTTCCTTCTCTGTTCTGCACCACCATCTGTTTGCAATCCTTGCAATTGCTTATATTACTGGCATATAGTTGTCAAGATCTCCTTCTTTTGTAATTTTATTGAACAATTGCTGGCAGTATCACCCAAGGTGTCCTTTTTTATGCAGAACTCTGCATTCTCATGTCCCCTAGCCATATATTAATATGCTGTTAACAATACATTTCAAATAAAACAAAATCCATTTCATCTCCTGCCAGAAACATTGAGATATTAGCAGCTCGAATAACGCAAAATCTAACTATTTCTACTTGAACCCGTAATCTAGCTATTTCGCCATCAAGTTTAGTACTGCAACCTATAGCACACATTAACAACTAAAATTTAAAGAAATTTTGCTACATTTTTAATGAGTTTACTGCGGGGGAACACTCAGATTTTGCTTTGGACATATTGAATTTGTTTAACGCTTCCTTAATATAATTGGTCTGTGAGATTAATCACTAGTAATTTTCATTCTAAATGTTTTCTTTATCCCTCTTGGTCCATATCAAACTCCTTTGATGACAAGTTCTTTATACAACTACATCCAATTTTATTATTTATATTCCAACTCAAATTTGAACCACTTCTCTATTTCCCAATGGTTTAATTTAGGTCATAGTGCAGCATACAATGCTGGCTATATTATATATCTTTTCATTAATTTATCTATTTTTGATTCTATATAAAGCCTTTTCTCGTTTTTTTTTTTTAATTTCATTCAGCGTTTTTCTGTAGTTTATGCTGAATGTTAATTACTTGTTCAGGACTGTCAATTGATGAGTTTTCAAGGAAGAAGCTGGATGCGACGGCTGAAGAGCTTAGTGAGGAAAAGGCTCTGGCATATTCATGCCTCTCTTAAAATTTACCTGAATTTGCCATTCAGCAACTCAGGTTTTGCACCCGCGGTTCCTTAATAATATAAACCTTTACTGAAGCAACTGGTTTTTAAGCTTGGACTGCATCCAGTTGGTTTCATCATTTGGATAATAAGCTTCGGTTGTGTTGTCTTTTTTATCTTTTTTCCTATTTATGAGATGATGAATTATATTATTATTGGGATTTTGTTTCACTTATGCATGCCTGTCACACTTCCCATGAGGGCAATCCTGGCGTAACCTGGTTATCATTCCCTTTATTTTGGCTGGCGCCTATGGACTTATGGGCTGGTTTGATTTGAATCGGATCTACTTTAATCTCTCTCTCTCAAACACACACACACACAAATATATATACATTTAGGTATATATGTATATCCACACACACACACACACACACACACACACACACACACACACAAACACACACGCACACGCACACACACACACACACACATAACACACACACACACACATATATATATATCTATACCGGGAAAGTTTTTTTATTACATCAATAATTTTAAGAACTGTTCAGTTTTAATTTGATAACTATACAATAGAAAAACAGTAACTAAGTTTATGACGTGGAGGGCAAAAACTGTAGATCTTATCTGGATATTCTGAAGTAAAAATGTCATCTAGGAAAGGAAGTTATGCAACTCTGTCCATGCTAATTTACATCTGCTTTTGAAACAAGTTCTATTAATGATAGACAATAAATAGAATATTGATAAATTATTCATCTGCCTTCTCTTTAATAGTCTCTATTCATTACCAGTTATTTAATATCGATAATCTTTTAATACTGTATTATAACTTGTATTATACTATAATGCCAAATCGCAGATGACAACTAGGGCTATTCGATAAGCTTATATGTTCAAATGTATTTAAATATTAAAAAAAGTATAGATATTAATAATAATATAAGATTTATAATTAATAGTATAAATTTTTTTTTTCAGTGATATTGTGACCTTGTTGGCATGCATGTATTTCATTATCGAGACAACGGCATGGTTATTGCAGCAACAGTAGGAGAAAAATTGCCTTTGAACTATAACAATGTCTACCATTGTAGAGGCTTATTTTTTAATCGTGGCATAAAATTACTTCTCAATTTCTGTAGTTCTCATCCTGTTCTTAGCTATTTGTCTTTTTATTCGATATAGCCTAATATTTTATGTTTCGGTGACTCCCAATTATTGAAACTAAGACAAAAACCATAGCTTATAAGGAGGTTCAAATAGCTAATGAGTATAACAGTTATTTGGCTATTTAATCGGGCTTAATCGGTCATCTTGTATGGGTCATTGGTCTATATATATGTAATGATAGATATGAGTTGAGATGGTTAAGGAGAAGAAAAATTTTAAGAGCAAAGGTGAGGAACCAAGAATGTTTGTATCGAGATCAAGATCGATAGAGAGCTAGAGGAGATTGGTTCGTCCTTGATTTTGTGTGATGTAATTGTCAAGATTATCTTAGTGAATTATTCTTGATTCTCTCTTGTGGATGTAGGTTATATGGACTGAACCACATAATTCTCTCGGTGTTCTTGTTTTGTATTTCTTCTCTACAGTTTTTTTTTCTTTTCCCTGTTTTTTCTGTTTGTTGTCCTGTGGGTTTCTCTGTTGTCCAAGAGCAGATTTCCTTCAATTGGCGCTGTCTGTGGGAACTCTAGTCACGACAATAGGATCTACGAAGTTCGACATCGAGAAATTCACATGAATGAACGATTTCAGCCTGTGGAGAGTCAAGATGAGAGTCTTGTTGGTGCAACAAGGCGTCACAGAAACATTGCAGAAGCCGACGACATTGTCGGTTGAGATGCCCGAGAGAGAAAAGAACGATATCTTGGACAGAGCACATAGTCTGATAATCTTGAGCTTGGGCGACTAAGCTTTGAGGAAAGTATCGAGCTTGGGCGACAAAGCTTTGAGTGAAGTATCGAGGGAGACGACGGCTTGGGCGCTATGGGCCAAACTTGAGCAGCTCTATATGACGAAATCTTTGGCCAATGGCTCTTCTTGAAGCAACGCCTATACTCATTCAAGATGCATGAAGATAAATCTGTCTCAGAGCAGATCAATGAGTTCAACAATATCATAGATGATCTTGAAAATATCGACTTCAAGATGGATGACGAGGACAAAACACTACTATTGTTAAACTTCATTCCTAAGAGTTACGAGCACTTCAAAGATGTGATGCTTTATGGAAGGGTGCAAACAATTTTACTAGAAGAGGTCCAAGCTCTGATTAGAGCCAAAGAACCGAGAGTTACGAGCACTTCAAAGATGTGATGCTTTATGGAAGGGTGCAAACAATTTCACTAGAAGAGGTCTAAGCTCTGATTAGAGCCAAAGAACTTCAAAGAAAACATGACATGAACGAGAAAATTAGTGGAGACAGTCTTACCGTTAGAGGGAGATCAGACAAGAAAGATTTAATAAACGGTCAGAGAAGATCAAGATCAAAACAATGAAAGAAGCGCAGAAATCAATCATCAAAGGGACCTTACAAGTGTTACTATTGCCACAAGGTAGGTCACTTCAAGAAGATTTGTTTAGATAGGAAGAAAAAATTTCAAGAAAAGTCTAAAAATTCTGGAGAAGCAAGCATAGCCTCGAATGGCTATGATTTAACCGAAGCCTTGGTGTTCACAAAATCAGAATCCAACAAGGAGTGGATCTTCGACTCAAGTTGCTCTTTCCTTATGTACTTTCATAAAGATTGGTTCAAGAAACTGTAACTGGCAAATGGTGGGTTCGTACTACTTGGAGACAATAAGGCTTGCAGGGTGGTCGGCAGTGGGACAATTAGGATTAAGGATGTTCGACGGAGCTGAACGAATACTGCAGCATGTCAGGTATATACTCGAACTTAAAAGAAATCTGATTTTTGTAGATACATTGGAGTCAAGCGACTACTCTTTCAAGGCGGAAAACGACAGCAGTAAAGTAAGCAAAGATCCTCTCATCGTCATAACAGGAGTCACAAAAAATGACCTATACTCTCTAATCGGAAGAACTGTGATTGATAGCTTCTCTAATGTTGTTCAATCAGAAACTAACAGAACTAGACTATGACACATGCGACTTGGGCACGTAAGTGAAAGAGGCTTACAAGAACTGTCTAAACACAACCTATTGTGTGGAGATCGAGTCGGTAAACTGGAGTTTTGTTAAGAATGTGTGTTAGGGAAGACTACCTGGGTGAAGTTCTCTACTGAAACTCACACATCAAAGAGACCATTAGATTACGTACACAGTGATCTATGGGGTCCAGCAAGAACCCAAACTCATGGAGGAGGGAGGTATTTCATGTCTATCATAGATGACTACACCAGGAAAGTGTGGATCTTCATTCTAAAAACAAAAGATGAAACTTTTCAACGATTCAAGGATTGTTTAACTCTCACTGAAAACAAGATGGAAACAAAATTGTAGCACTTAAGAACTGACAATCGCTTGGAATATTGTTTAGAGCGGTAGTTATGTAGGAAGAATGACATTACAAGATACAAGACAGTTCAGAAAACCCCTCAACAGAATGGATTGGTCGAAAGAATGAACATAACTCTCTTAGAGAGAGTGAGGTGCATGTTGTTAAACGCCGGTCTACCTAAAACCTTCTGGGGTGAAGTTGTGTCAACCGTTTGCTACCTTATCAATAGATGTCCAACAAATGCTATTGGAATGAAGACTCCTTTGGAGATGTGGTATGAGAAACCAGGTAACTATGATAATCTCAAAGTTTTTGGATGTTTGACATATGCTCATATTAGACAGGATAAACTAGAAGCAAGAGCTTTGAAGTGTATTTTCATCGGCTACCCATCTGGAACAAAGAGTTATAAATTGTGGTGTCTAGAGCCTAGCCAATAAAATGCATCAACACTAGAGATGTGGTATTTGATGAGTCTAAAAAGGCGAACCTACAAAGCTATGTTACCAAGAACAGTGCTACAAAGGAGGATGCTCCAATTGAGGTGGAGCTTCTACAGCAAACTGTGGCTAACCAAAGGACTGCAGTGAACAACCAAGATGGAGAGGTAGAAGACCAGCAAGAAACTGAACCTGAAACCAGATTGGATGATTATAGTCTGGTGAGAGATAGACGAAGAAGAACCATCAGACCCCCAGAGAGATGACCATGCAGACCTGATCTCCTACACATTGAGTGTCGCAGAAGAGATAGAAGAAGCTGATCCAAACAACTACAAGGAAGCTCTAAATAGTAAGGAAAGACACAAGTGGGTTGATGCAATGAATGAGGAAATAACTTCTCTGATGAAGAACAGGACCTGGGAATTTGTGGACCGACCAAAGAACCAATGTGTAGTTGGTTGTAAGTGGACCTTCAAGAAGAAGGAAGGCATGTCAGACATTGAAAATGTCAGGTATAAAGTCAGACTTGTTGCAAAGGGAGTCAAACAGGTTGAAGGAATTGACTTCAATGAAATCTTTTCACTCGTGGTAAAGCACTGCTCGATCAGGATAGTTTTAGTTCTAGTGGCTCAATTCGATTTGGAATTAGAGCAGCTAGATGTTAAAACTGCGTTCTTACGTGGAGAATTGGAAGAAATCATCTTCATGGATCAGCCAGATGGGTATTGCACACCTGAAATCAGGGACAAAGTATGCGTGTTGAAGAAATCATTGTATGGACCGAAACAAAGTCCAAGACGATGACACGAAAGATTTGATGAGTTTATGCTAAGGATTGGTTTTGTCAGAAGCAGCTACAACAGTTGTATATACATGAAGAAGCAAGACGATGATATAAATACTTATTTGCTCCTACACGTAGATGATATGTTGGTAGCCAGCAGAAGCAAGGTGGAAGTCCAGAAGATCAAAGTTATGCTCAACTCAAAATTCGACATGAAGGACCTAGGACCTGCCACAAAGATCCTAGGGATGAAGATTACAAGAGACAGAAAGAAGGGCATCTTGTTCTTATCTCAGAAGTCATATATTCAGAAAGTTCTAGTGAAGTTCAACTTATATGACGCCAAGTAGGTTACAACATTAATTGGTTAACACCTCAGATTGTCAAACTCTCAAGCACCTATGAGTGAAGATGAGAAAAGATACATGGATACTATCCTTTACGACAGTGAGGTTGGTAACATCATGTATGGAATGGTTTGCAGCAGACCAGATTTGACCTACGCCGTCAACATTATAAGCAAGTTCATGACAAATCCTGAACAGGCTCACTGGGAAGCTCTGAAATAGATTATGAGATA